CTTGTGATTCTTCTTAAGCGGTGCTCAATGCATCCCCATGTTCTTTAAGATTGGTATTAATATATTCCGCCTCCACTCTTCTGGCATCTTATTTGCACAAAAATGAGGTTTAAAAGCTTAGTTAGCCATACTATCGCTATGTGTCTGAGGCCTCTCCACACCTTTTTTTTCAAGAAAACGCAAGAGAGCTTGCATTTCATTGCTTTGGAAAGAAAGAGGGTTTCAGTTACAATCCTCCTAGGAGGGAATTACAGTGCCCAAAGGCACATCAGTGAACGTCCCAAGTTTGCGGTACAATGGCTCGAAGCCCTAGGGTGCCGGCTCTGGCCCAGAGGACAGCCTCGTCCTTGATCTTCATGAGCAGGTCGGACGCCGAGGGCCGTCCTCTGTTGAAGATGCAATCGTTACGGTGCTTCCAGATCATCCATGGGACGAGGAGGGTCGCGGAGGCGAGGCCCTTGCGCATGGGTTTGGGGGTGTGCTGTCGCGCCGTGTGCCACCAGTTGTCGAGAGAAGTCTCGCTGTCAGGCGGGGCGCAGGGGATTCGGAGCCAGTGCAGCACCTCGTACCAGATCTGCCGGGAGAAGGGGCAAGCTAGGATGAGGTGGTGCATGGTCTCGGGGGCCTTGTTGCAGAGGGGGCATCGCGCGGGGTGTTGCAGGCCGCGGCGGGCGAGGCGGTCGGCCGTCCAACATCGGTCCAGGCGGGCAAGCCAGTGGAAGAATCGGACGCGCGGGGGTGCCCAGTTCCATGTGAGCTTCCATGCGTCGCAGCCCGTGGAGCCATTGAAGGTGGCGATGTAGGCCGATTTGGCGGAGTAGACGCCGCGGGGGTTCCACTTCCAGGAGAGGCAGTCTGGCTCGGCGGAGAGGGTCGTGTAGCTGACTGCGTGCCAGAGCTGTAAGTATTGCCCGATCTCGTGGATGCCAATTGTGCCGTGTATGTCTCGTGCCCATCGGTTGGCCTGTAATCCATCGGCGGCGGTCCTGAGCTTGCGGCAGCGCTTGGGAATGCAAGCGTATAGCAGTGGCGCGATCTCGCTAACGGAGCGCCCGTCGATCCATCGGTCAACCCAGAACAGGGTCTCCGTGCCATTCCCGATTTGCACGGTGGTGGATGCGAAGAAGAATGCACGCTCCTCAACTGTGAACTGCAGGTCAAGGCCAGCCCACGCTCTAGTGTTGTCCGTGCGGCTGAACCACAACCATCGGGTGCGAAGCGCGAGGCTCGTCCGGGCGAGATCGTGCACGCCGAGGCCGCCAAGCGAGAGCGGCCTAGCAACACGTTGCCAATTGACATGGCAGTGCCCGCCATTTGTCTCCGCCTGTCCTGCCCATAGGAAGCCTCGCTAGATTTTCTCGAGTGCCTTGATGGTCTTCATGGGGGGCGCGAGAGCGAGGAGCTGATGGATCAGGATCACGCTCAGGATGGCCTTGACAAATGCTACGCGGGCGGCTTTGTTCATGAGATGCGCCATCCAGGTGGGTAGCATGCTGGCCGTTTTGTCGATGACGGGCAACTGTGCAGCCATGGGACGGTGTAGAGTCAGGGGGATGCCCAAATAGGTGATCGGGAACTCGGCGAGGGGGAAGCCCGGCAAGTTGGCAGCGGGTGCCGCATCATCAGCAGAGCACCAGATCAGGGTGGCGGAGCTTTTTGAGAGGTTGACCTAGAGGCCTGAAGCTCGGCCGAAGAGCAGTAGGATGCTCTTGAGGCGGTGATGCCGCCAATGGTGGGGTGGCAGAAGAGGATTACATCGTCGGCGTAGAGTGAGACCAAGGGGATCGGGCGCCGGGGGTGCAGCCACTGCAAGACGCCCAGTTTTGTCGCGTGGCGGAGGAGGCGGCCCAACGTGTCGACGGCGAGGATGAAGAGCTGTGGCGACACGGGGTCGCCCTAGCGGAGGCCACACCTGTCCCAGATGGTGGGGCCGGGGTTTCCGTTGATCACCTTCGTGCTGGCCGAGGAGAGCAAGATGGCCAGCCAGTCCAGGAAGCGAGAGCCGAAGCCGTACTGGCGGAGGACCTCGAAGAGGAACGACCAGCTAATGGTGTCGAAAGCACGAGCCAAGTCCAGCTTCACGAGGACGCAAGGGGTGCCGAGCTAGTGTAGAAGGAGCGCGGATTGGCGCACGAGGATGAAGTTGTTGTGCAGGCTGCGGCTGTGGATGAATGTGTTCTGGCACGTGCTAACGAGGTTGTGGAGCTTTGGCGCGAGGCGTAACGATAAGACCTTGGCAAAGATTTCGGCGACGAGTTGGATTAGGCTTATAGGCCTAAAGTTGCCTAGGCCACAAGCGTCTGCGCGCTTCGGGAGCAAGGTGAGCAGCGCCTGGTTGAGGGAGCAAAAGCCCCGACCACGCATCTCGTACAGCCACTGGAAGACGTCGACGAAATCTTGCCGGACGATGGGCCAGCACGCGCGTAAGAACTCGGCGATGAAGCCGTCCGGGCCGGGAGCTTTACGTACGAGGCGTTTCACCGCCTGCCAAATTTCCTCGGCGTAGAAAGGGGCGTCAAGGTCATCGAGGTTGGTGGGTGGGATCAGCTCGGAGAGGTCGAGGCTGCACTCGCGGGACGTCTCGCAGCCGAGCAAGGCGTCGAAGTGTGCGTATGCCACGGCCGCCATGTCGCAGGGGGCAAAGATCAAAACGCCGTCCACAGTGAGGTTGTGGATCCGATTCTTCTGTCGCCGGTACGTGCATTGCCGGTGGAAGAAAGATGTGTTGGCGTCGCCGTCCTTGAGGAGCGCAATGCGGCGGCGGGGGGGTGCACAGCACGCCACGGCGGAACTTCCAGCAGTCACGCGAGCCGTGTCCAAAGTAGAGGCAACGACGGCGGCGGATGTCATTGGTGCACTCGCGCACGGGGTTGATGGGGTCCAGGCAGAGGAAGCAGAGGCCAGCGGCCTCCTCCGGAGAGGGGCTGCGGCGGTGGTGCCGCTGGGCCGACAGGGTGGCATCACGGCGCGCGCCCCGGCACCTATTCCTACGGTGGGGGGCCTGGAAGCCATCCGCGTCGACCTCCGAACCTCCATGGACGCGGTGGACCTCGCTGCGGGGCCCGAGGCAGGTGGCGGCTGGGGCGCGCTGGGGCGGCGTGGCGGGGGCGGGCACCACCAGGGGGAGGGAGGCGATGAGGGTCTAGCCCGGGGCGGGAGGAGGCGTCCAGGCAACCTCGCTGTAGGATCTCACGGAGGACTCGCCAGCGGCACGAGCCGGCGGAGCCGAGGTCGAGGTCGCTGGAGCTGCCGCTGGGGGAGGCCATGGTCGACGGGGGAGGAGGGGGCAGGGTGGGAGGAGGGCTACCGACGGGGGTCGACGGCGGCAGGCCTAGAAGTAGGAGGGGGCTAGGCTAGAGGAGGAGCGGGAGCGGAACGGCGCAGAGCCATCTCAGAAGTGTCGATTCTTCGTTGCTCGTCCTTCTGCAAGATCAACATCAGATTTGCTAGCTTGCGAGGGTTGCCAACCGCAGCAGAGTACAGCTGAGGAAGAGCATAAAGAGAAGGCAGTGGCCTCTCCACACCTCAATAGGGATACAATCAAAGCTCTTCGCCTTACCTCCTTTCATCCCTTTTAAAGCCTCAATGACCTCAAACTCCTAGATTCACCGCACAAAACACATGTTGGTATCATGAAAGGAGTCGTCCAACTCAATGATAGAGCTCTCACTCTCTACATTGAACAGCTTGTTGAGGTACTCCTGCCATCTATGCTTAATCTCCTTGCCCTTCAACAGGAGCTTATCTGCTCCGTCCTTGATGCATTTGAGTTTGTTGACATCGCTCGTCTTCCTCTCTCAGATCTTAACCATCTTATAGATGCCCCTTTCACCTTCCTTCGTGTCTACGTGTTGGTAGTGGGCCGACCCCTAGCTTAACTCACATCTCGCTTTGAAGTCTTCTTTGCCATATTGTATTTCTCTATGTTGTATGCACTCCTATCTGGGTGTAGGCATCTAAAATAATATAATTAAGCAATGACTAGTGACTGCTAAATTCTTGTTGCAAAATGCGGTGTGAATTTCTGGGATGGGTCTACGCGCATCGGTTAAGCAAAAAAATAGTAAAAAATCAAAAAATGTGAAACTTTTTTGCGAGAAACGGTCTAGCATAATAATCACATTTAAAGTATCAGTCACAAATGAGTTATGTTGTAATATGAGTAAAAAAGTAAAAGTGTAGCTACAGAAACCGTGAATAGTAGTGTTTATATAGTATTGATTCTGTTGTATTTTGCTCGGAATACGATATAAATCATTTTATCCCGAAACTTTAAATGTGAGTTATGCTAGACCATGTATTTTGTCAAAAAAGTTTTTCAGTTTGGGTACGCGCGCACCCAGGTTCCCCGAGATGTATTTTCAGTGCAAAATGCCATTATAACAACTTTGGATTGAATTTTAATCATATAGAAGCAAATATTTAGCCATAACCAAAATATAACTAAAATACGCAAATGTTCATGTATACACTATACATACTTAAACGCTGAATAACCTAAGCTTATGTTTTTTATACAGGAAAAAACATTCAAACAAAACTAAGAATGCAATCAAGAGCATCTTCATTGTGTATACCAATCTACACAAAATCAGAGATAAAGTGGATTATATTATAGTACTAGTAAATGCACGTTAATATTAGGCAGTATATTAGATAGGATATTTTTGCGCGTTAATTATGTGTTTAGTGCTATATTTGTATGATATTAATTACACACTGAACATGTTGAGCGCTCGCCATTGAAGCAGTCTAGGTCGTTGGATTGACCTGGTTCGATGGTCAAGATTAGTTCCTTTGAGTCTTTTGATATTGGTAGAGATACAACATTCGGTCCCAAATTCTACTACTGAAAAGGAGATTAATTAGTTGTAGTATGTCATAACAATGTTATATTTCAATTCATCTTCTCTATGAATGTGATGAAATTGAGATTACATTGTAAAATAAGCGAATTGCTAAAAATAAACTGCATGAGGTATTGAGGTAATGATGTGCACCTGTTGCGCAATAATGGGGTCATCCCTGCTACGGTTGACAATATAATTAAGCAATGAGTCCACATAATCCCGCACTGCAATATATCCATATAGTTCTACTGAGCTAGTGTTGATAGAGACACTAGCCAATTTTAATGAGAAAATTTGCATCATCGGCCTTTCATAATGCACGCAGCACCTTTCTCGGTCAGGAAAGCAATCCGTTGGCTCCGATAACATCATTGGCTCAAGTTGTGCTTCATATATATATATAATATTAAATAAAGATGTACTCTAAAAAGTATAATCATGTCAAGTTGTGCTTCATATATATATATATATATATATATATATATATATATATATATAATTAAATAAAGATGTACTCTAAAAAGTATAATCATGCTTTATCTGAGTTCAAAAACAATTATCTAATGAAATGCCTCCAATGTTACTATTATAGAATAACAACAAAAGAAATACTAATTGAACAAGTGAGGAGAGTGACGCAACGCTACATGATGGAAATACTGAAGCAGACTATAAGAGTAGTGGTTAACAAGACTTCAATTCGTGTATGGCAAAACGTTTAACGAAACAGTATGTTAAACTTTTTGATCTTCAAAGAACTTCATAAGATGTTCGTTATCGACAAAAAACAATTTTCTCATCGCCTATTTTCATTTTGATACATAAGTGCATATGAGACTTATTCATTTATCTGATTCGAAAAATAAAACAATTATTGCTAGGACACAATGCAATATACTATTTGAAAGTAAAGATAACATTATGAACTGGCGCCAACTCTAACAACATCTGTTGAAAATCAAGATGCTCATAATACTAACGCTTATTATTACATGGCGAAACTGGCTATTTGTATAAGTGGACTACCCTGTGGATCATATATCCAAAGTTGGTTGTCAATTGGTACAATACCCATTAGGGGCAAAGCAGAATAGAAATTGACACTCGTACCCCTATGTAGAACAAGGGAGTTGCATTCACTTAATGACCAATTCGATCACTCGGGGGATCTGCCCAACTAGAAAAGCTCATGTGACCCTAGAAAGAAATCTTGCGCAGTGCAACCAGCGGCTGATCAATCCATCACCTATTAATACGTCTTCACCACCGTCACTGCATATCGTTGTTTATCCAACATAATCGAACTCCTAGCCCAGTACCTTAATGCTACCACACGCTTGCTCATATACCGTTTTTGAACCATACAAGTGCTAATCCCATGAGTATTCATGGCACTAATATTGATGTTGTAGACAATATTATGAAGATAATGATAATGAAGGTGTGGCTACTCCAGATGATGATCATGTACCCATGGAGCATTGATTGTGATATGGATAGCCCAAATATGGAGGAAGGTAGCACTTTCCCTTCAATGGATGCATTTAGACTAGTAATCAAACAATATGCAATCAGGGGAATTTGACATGGGGTCTCTAAGATCTGAATCGGTAGGTTTCACGGCATTTGTAAAGCCAAAGGATGTATGTGACACATTAAGGCTGAGAAAGTGCAGCATGGAGTTGTCATGGTACAGATCTTGTTGTGAAATGCTAATCTTTGTACTGCTCTTTATCATTATCATTTACTTGGTACTTATTGGCTCATTCTTTACTTATACTTTTATTTGCAAGTGACTGGTGTAGGGCCTGATCACATATGTTTAACTAGCATCACATATGTCTTACTAGCAGCGGGAGAACATCTAGTATGGCATCTCAAAGCTGGATTGCCGAGAGGGCAATGCCTATGTTGAGGAAGAACCCTAAAACGAGTGTTGTAGAACTGTAGTAGAAGTTGGAAGAAGACTGGTCTCACACTTAGGCTCTGTTTGTTTGGGCGTCTGAGAGCAGCTTTGGATGAAAAAAGCTAAAGCCCAAACAAACAACTGTTTTGCACCCGTTGTGGCCTCACAGCATAACGCAGTTTGCAGTTTTGAAACAACTCCCAATCCAAACACCACAAGACGTACTTCAGCTGTGAAGTGGATTGCGCTACCATCCATGTACCAATGCTAACCTTGCGCTTTAACTCACTTCACAAAGAAATTACCATCCCTAATCAATCAATCTTGAGTCAAGCCTCCTCAGCGTATGCCGCTGGAGAAGAAAGTCTGGTTCAGACACTTACACCTGGATAAGAGTGTAGACAACAACGCGGGTTATGGGTGAAGCAAGGGGTGGGGTCAGGCTTATGAGGACTTCTACCAGCATTTAAACACGAAGGAAGGCAAAAGGGACTTCTATATGGCCAAGATCCAAGAGAGGAAGACGAGGGATGTCAACCAAGTCAAATGAGAGCTCTACCATTGAACTAGACAAACTCCCTTTGACAATACCAACAGATGTTTTGTGCGAAGAATCTAGGAGTCGAAGGTTGGGGAAGCTATCACATTGTTTCTTTCTGGACCCAACTAACATGGATCTGGAGAATGTAGTGAAGGCCGCTTTCCCTAATGGCAAGCACAGGAAGTGCATTAAGCAACTTACCACAAGCTTGGTTGGGGAATTCCTTGGTAAAGTATGGCCACATGTGGGCTGCAGCTAGGGCATATGAAAAAGATAAATTTGATAACCACATGGCCAAGATATTTGCAGCAAGCAAAGGTAGCAGTATACCTACTACAACACCACAATTTACTATGGATGAGGTTCATTTCTAGCCCTTGCACAAGTGATTCATTCATTTTTATGCTCTTGTTGCAAACATTTAATCGCTCTTGAATTTTTAGGTGTGGGGTTATCCCAAATATTAAGTGTGACTGCATAACTAATAATCTTGCTGAGACCTTAATTCTTGGCTGAGGGATATAAAGGATTTGCCTATTGTTCATCTAGTTGATACTTGATAAGTCAAGTTTTAATTAATTATGTTACTTTTTAAGCAGAGGAGAGCAAGGTAAAAGGTAAAATACTACCTGCTATCATACAAGAGTTAATGTCTATCCTAGAGTAATAGGCCATCGTAAGCCGCATGGATCCAGCGAGTGGAGTGCCAAGGTCAAAGATACTACAAAAAATGACCTTCAACATGTAGTTAAGTGTCTTACACATGAATGAACTTGCCTAGAATGGCAGCACATGGGCAAGCCATGTTGACATGCATTGGTTGTGTTAGTTCACCAAAAAATAGATGTTGAAATAAAAGGTTGACAACCAACTTTGGGTATATGATCTAAGGCCTCAGGACTAAAGTCAACCAGCTTACAATAAAGAGATGTTGGAATTAAAAAAAAACTACTTCGGAAATAAATACTTGGGACTTCTACTCTCTTTTAACTAACATAGTAACACTCTACTAAAGCATCAGCTACATTGCATACTGCTAAAAAATAATGCACATTCAGCCTCAAGCTTTTAATCAATTAGCTAAATATTGTCAAATATCCTATAAATCAACTGGAACGTGGTAGGAAAGAGATTCGCATCACTTACTCTCATCACGGTCAGTAACACGACATAATTTTCGAAGAGCAAAGCTTCTTTTGTATATAGCACCATCCCGGTGGCTGCTGTTCTTAAAGATGAAAGTCGATCTTACATTGTCCGCGGGATGTCTAACAAGGACCTCCTTGGTTCCCCACCTCTTTTCTTCTCTACTTATCCCTTCGGTGATGTGGCAGAGCCAATTCGGTTTACCCCATTTCTTCTTGTCTTTTACTCCCATGATGTTCCGGGCCATGATCCAGAATTGATAAGCAGATCTATCACCAAAGAGCAATTAGAATTCGGCTAAAATAAGATACGTGGATTGAAATTGTAATCATACTACTCCAATCGTTTCACTATATATGTCCCCATTCTTGGGAACCTCCGTTCCAAAATATCTATCCATTCAGCAAAAAAGAAAAATAAGAGTGTAGTTGCAGTTTTTTCCAATCTTTCCCCTTGCTTAAGTGCTTTGATATTGGTTGGCAGCCGTATGGTGGGACGAGGACAGATGTATTGAAACAAAAATCATTCAAACAAATGTTGAGGAGGAAACCCTTCAAAATAATATAACTGCAAGGACGAATAAGAGTTCAAAGGCCCAAAGTTCAACGTTTGTCTCAATTCAGCGCCAAAAATATCCACAAGATAAAGACGCACCGGGGAACATGGTCCAGATTTCGCCACGAGTGGAGCATCTTGTTGCTCAAGTTTCGGAGGACCCAATCGAGGAGAAGCAGAGGTGATACAGAGAGGAGGGCAGCAATTTGGGGACGGACGAGGCCGCGCGGTGGAGCGACTGGGCGCTCGTTTGGATGGTGCGGAAAGGTTGGCAGAAAAAAATTAGGGTTCGGAAATCGGAACTGGGGACGCGGAATGCGCGAGGCTTCGACCAATCAGGCCATCCACCTCGTCCGTTCTTTCTTTCCGCTCGATACAGCCGGTACGGGTACGGCCAGTACATGGGAGGTGCTATACTTCGGATGCTCATATTTCTGGAAACAGGCTTCGCTCCGCCTTATCTTCTTAAATATAAGTCTTCCACTGTAAACCAAATATGGACGTGTATAGATGGATTTTAAGTTGTAGATTCACTTATTTTACTTTGTATGTAGTCCATAAAAAATCTTTACAAAGACTTATACTTCCTCTGTACAAAGTTGAGACATTTATTTGAAGATGAATGGTGTATTTAGGAACGGAGGGAGTATAAAGCAACAACTCAACAGAGTACGCGGCTGAACGATACAAGATGAAGAGGTGATTCTCTTATAAAGTAGATCCCAAGATAATCAGATCACGCAGAACAACTACGCTACCAGAGAAGAACACATGGAAGATTGGGTACAACGCCACGCTACGCCCTAGCACACTTAAACTCCGTGACAATGCTCGAAGACGGCGTGAAAAGTCGACTGTCGAGTCCAAGGTGGACATGAGCTTTCGCTCGGAACCCTGACACCGTGAGAAGAATCGCGACGACGTCTTTTCAAGAAGAGACTGGCGCCCGCGGGCGTCGCCACCGTTGCCGCCAAAAGCGCGGAGCTTTCACTCCGCAGGTCAACCATGCCACACGAGGTCACCAAGACAAGCGCGACGATCCCAGGTTCCCAGATCCAGATCAGGGCGTCGTCACTGCCAACAACAGAGGACGGGCCCGAGCCACCTGACGCTACCCCTCGTCGCCCATAGGACCAAGAGGGAAGCCACCGCCGCCACCATAGTGCCCGTCGGAGAGCCAAACATGCAGCCCGCCATCCAAGGCCGCCGCCCCGGCATACCAAGTCCGACACACCGCCATCCAACCACTTCGCGGCATACTCACCACGGTAGGAAGAGCGACGACTCCATCCACTCCTAGCCCCGCATCAGCCATCGATTCTGGGTTAGCGCCTCCACCGTAGGAAGCGCCCACCTGCATCCCCAGCTAGCCCCGGTGGGCTAAGGGGGCACGAACCGATGACTGCCAACGGTCGTTGTCGAGCAAGCCTAGACTCGACCCTCTGGCCTCGGCCCAAGCAAGCATGCACAACGCCATGTCCATGGTATTTGGCGCGGATCCGACGGCAAGAGCAGTGATGTCACGACCACCACCTACTCCCACCGCACCCGCGAGAGAAAGACACCGCTCGCGAGCACATCCCCGACCTGAGACCAACCTCACCTACCCGAAGCACCAGCTCCGATCTGCCTTGGGCACAGATCTGGCCCGCTCGAGCACGAACCCTAGCTCCAAGCCTTCCCCGTTGCACGCGCGGTCGGCACCACCAACACCTGCCCAACCCCGTGCACCGTCGGCTTGAACCCAAGAGAAGGAGAGCTGCCACCCTATGCTGCCTATAAAAGAAGCATCACACCCGTATCTACGACGCCGCTGCCGCCACAAGCACGCACCACCCACCATGCCCGAGAAGAACCAGCAGCGGGGAAAGCCACCATCGGCCACCCGGACCCTGCTGCCACCAGCGGCCACGGCAAGCAGGCTGCACCGCCGGTGCCCGAGATGACCACAGCCCGCACCGCTCGCCGAGGAGCTCTCCAAACCAACCCAGATCGGGATGAGCAAGCCACCCCCACCGGCGTGCATCACCATCCCTACGCCGCCCAGCACACGGACCACGTCCATGCCCCGCCGAGGCACGGCCGGAGAGCCGCCGCGCTATAGCACCCAGCGGCAGCGCCGCATCCCAACGCGGTTTCTCTGTGACGCCCCCGATTCAGTCGTACACTAATCATACACGCAAACATGTACGATTAAGATCAGAGACTCACGGAAAGATATCACGATACAACTCTAAACACAAATAAAAGGATACAAGCTTCATATTATAAGCCAGCGGACTCGAGGGCTCGAATACAAATGCTCAACCATAAACGAGTTAGCGGAAGCAACAATATCTGAGAACAAATATAAGTTAAACAAGGTGTGATGTCTGCTACACAACTTTATCCTTGTAGACGTTGTTGGGCCTCCAAGTGCAGAGTTTTGTAGGACAATGGCAATTTTCCCTCAAGTGGATGACCTAAGGTTTACCAATCTGTGGGAGGCGTGGAATGAAGATGGTCTCTCTCAAACAACCCTGTAACCAAATAACAAAGAGTCTCTTGTGTCCCCAACACACCCAATACAATGATAAATTGTATATGTGCATTAGTTCGGTGAAGAGATGGTGATACAAGTGCAATATGGATGGTAGATATAGGCTTTTGTAATCTGAAATATAAAAACAGCAAGGTAACTGGTAACAAAAGTGAGCGAAAACGGTATTGCAATGCTCGAAAACAAGGCATATGGTTCATACTTTCACTAGTGCAAGTTCTCTCAACGATGATAACATAATTAAATCATATGGCAATCCCTCAACGTTCGAAAAAAAGTCACTCCAAAGTTCCTATCGCAGAGAACATAAGATGAAATTGCTTGTAGGGTACGAAACCACCTCAAAGTTATTCTTTCTAGTCAATCCATTGAGCTATTCCTATAAGTGTTACAAACAGACCTAGAGTTTGTAGTAAAATAACACCATATGACACACATCAATCAACCCTAATGTCACCTAGATACTCCAATGTCACCACAAGTATCCATGGGTCAATTATACGATATGCATCAAACAACTTCAGATTCATAATATTCAATCCAACACAAAGAACCTCAAAGAGTGCCCCAAGATTTCTACTGGAGAAACAAGGATGAAAACATGCATCAACCCCTATGCATAGATTACCTCAATGTCACCTCGGGAATCCGCAGGTTGAGTGCCAAAACATACATCAAGTGAATCAATAGAACACCCCATTATCACCACGGTTATCCCACGCAAGACATACATCAAGTGTTCTCAAATCCATAATAGTATTCAATCCGATAATAGTGAAACCTCAAAGGTAAAACACAATTCATAACAAGAAGATAGAGGGGGAGAAACACCATATGATTCAACTATAGTAGCAAAGCTCGCGGTACATCAAGATCATGCCAAATCAAGAACACGAGAGAGAGAGAGAGATCAAACACATAGCTACTGATACATACCCTCAGCCCCGAGGGTGAACTACTCCCTCCTCGTCATGGAGAGCGCCGGGATGATGAAGATGGCCACCCATGATGGCTTTGTAGCGCCCTGAGACCGTTGCGCCAGGTGTCCTCCAATTATTCGCTGTTGTTTCCTTGTCATTTGTTTGCATGTCATGCATTTCATATCATGTCATCATGTGCATCGCATTTGCATACGTGTTCGTCTCATGCATCCGACCATTTTCTCTGTTGTCTATTTTGCAATCCGACACTCCCATGTCCTCCGGCGTCCCCTTTTGCCTCTTTTCATGTGCGGGTGTTAAACGTTCTCGGACTGGACCGAGATTTGCCAAGCGGCCTTGGTACACCACCGGTAGACCGCCTGTCAAGTTTCGTGCCATTTGGAGTCCGTTTGATACTATAATGGTTAACCCGGGAACCGTAAAGGCCTCGTGTGTGTTGCAGCCCAACACCCCTCCAAAGTGGCTCAAAACCCATCTGAACCCCCTCCATCCTCTCGGTCGTTCGATCACGATCGCGTGGCCGAAAACCGCACCTCATTTGGACTCTCCTAGCCCCCTCTACCTATAAATATGTGCACTCCTCCGAATTTTCGGGTCCAAAACCCTAGTCTCTTCTTCCCCGCGCCGACGGACATGTCCGGAACGGACCGGACGCGTCCGCCCTGTCGCCTCAGCCACTCCCGCACCGCCACGTCACCGCCGCCGACCCGTGCGCCGCCGAGGCCCGCCGGGCCCATATCCGGCCCCCGTGGGCCCCGCCGCCGCCCGCCTCCACCGCGTCCTTGCTCCGCCGCCCGGTCGCCCGCGCGCCCCGCGCCGCTCCTCGCCGGACTTCACCCGCCGCCGCGTCCCCGCCCGCCGGCGCACCACCGCCACCGCGTCCGACCACCGCCTCGCCCCGGCGCCACCGCGCCCGTCCGCCGCCTCGCCGCCGACCCCTTCTCCGGCGACGGGGCGGCCAGATCTGCCATCCTCTCCCCAAGCTCCGGCCACCGCAGGCAAATTCCGGTCATCCTCGGACTCTGTGCGCGCTCAGATCTGGATTCAGCAAACCCTAGGGTTGAAAGAATTTTTCAAGTCCTTTTTTGTTATTTTTTTAGCCATGTTCATCGCATCATAACTCTGTGCTCGGTGGTCCGTTTTATGCATACGAGATACCAAAATGTTCATCTGGATGGCCTCTTCATTTAGCTCCATTGCACCATGCTTGTTTGACTTCATCTTGATGCCTAAAATGCTGTTGCAAGAGTTCTATAAAATGTTAGTTCCTGATTCTTATCAGATTATGAGCATTTGTCATTTTTGCCATGATTATCGTGTGCTGCATATGAACTTGAGGCCTACATGTGTTTTGGAGTATGCCATGCCATCTTTACAGGGGTGTATGCCATGTATTTTTGTGATCAATGTGGTGACTAGCACAAGAATGCAAAGTAGCTCTCGTGATATTGCTGATTTCAGGGACTTAGAATTTCACTAACTTTTTGCTTTGCTATTATTTTTATGCCATGTATTCATGTTGCTACAGGGAGATACATGCTTCTTTTGAGTATGTTCAGTAAGGATGATTTGGGCATATGGTTGAGCTCTATCCATCCATGCCCTTGTTTGCATTTATGGAGTGCCCTAGCATGACTCAATCTTGCTCTACTTTTGC